GGTCACTTCCTGTTTCACCGGAAATAACTACAACTTTTCATTTTTAAATGGCACCCTCGGTATATTTCTACTTTATTCTATAGAAAATGACACTCCGAATAGGATGACATATCATATGTCAACTTTTAAAAAATAAATTTTCCTTTGAAAATTAACCGTATTTTAAATTTCAATCCATGGCTGTGTTAAAAACACTAATTCGTAATCAAGGAGCCTTGGAAAATTAGTTTTGATCATCTCATGTTTTTCGTGCCTTTCCCTGGCCGGTTAAAAAATGTTCAAATCGTATTTTATCATATCTCAATTTTTTCAAATGGCACAAGGGTGGCTCATTAACATATTTGAAAAAAAAACATTTTTTTTACGAATAATTTGGTACAACACACTTGGTATTTCGAGTCAAATTGTCGTTATGAACTGCATGTTACAATTTCAAATAAACCATATGCCAAAGTGTCAAAAGTTGATATGTCATATTGTCGGTGAAATGTGATAAACTGCTAACTCCATTATTCCTAATTTTAGAGGAGAGAAAAGAAACGCCACAAGAAAATAATGTACACATGTAGCAAGTATATTAATGCGTTAATATGATAAAGAGATAAAAATAATATTTGTTGGGGAACAATAAAAATCAATATTTTGTTAAAAATTTTACGTAAAAATGATTTATTAAATGTATTCTTAAAATCAAAAATGGAGTTAGCAGCTTATCACGTTTCACTGACGATATTTTCAGAGTGTCATGATCTATCGAAATAAGTAAAAATATACCAAGGGTGAGCCACTGTTGAGACGCACCCGGTATATGTATTAATTTGAAATTAAAATATCATTTCTTGTGATACTCTCAGAAAACTCGTTAATACAAATTTCGCGAAGGTGGTACAGAATACAAAATAATTCGGTGGCTCCTAAAGTATTAGTTACTTCCCTACTAACGTAACAATAATTGGATTACGAAATTGGGCATTGCATTATTATATGGTAATCGTATGCTTACGGAACCCCCCTTCATAAATCTTAATGCCATCTATCTCAATACGTAAACATACGCGCCACGCTACCACAACGGAACGATTAATTCTTAATTCAATACAGATCTGAAGGGACCTACAGCGCAGCGTCGCGGTTAAGGCAGGGCTTTATCGGTGCTGATATTCCGTGGGTAGTAAGAATTTTGGTTAATAAATGTATTATTCATGCGCGCTATATATAGTCAAAAGAGATGTTTTAGATAGCTGAAGGGGGGTATATCCTAGAAGACTTGACAAAGTATTAAATTACTGCTCGGAAAGTGTCTATTCTACAGGGTGGTTAATCGGAGTTGGAAACAGGAAATACCATGCAAATTTAGAACTGTCAAAATATTGGCTTTCCTATTGATTTTATAGCTAAGTTGTAAATAGTCTTTTTAAAGGTCTGGGTATGGAGGGATGAAAACAAATGCCAAATTTGAACAATTTTGGTAATTACATAAGTTAAGACGTTTTTAACTAATCCAAGAAAAACTAGGCCCGAATTCTGTAACGTTACCTTAAAGGTTGATTAATTAACTTTAATCTTAATTTTTTTAAACCAGTACCTTTTGACAATATTTTTTCTGCAGTACTAAAATCCATTTTTCACCTATCGTGTGATATCGATATTTTACAGCTACTCCAGTTTTTAGTATATGTGTAGTACGATCCTTGTACCATATACGAGATGCACTTATCTACGACGAGATGGTATACAAACTTTAGTGATAGTAACTTTAACATTAACTATAAACTGTGCTTCTGGGTCTACAGTTAATTTTCCCTCGATTTTTCCTCCACCTGACTTCAAAAGACACAAAACATACGTAATAACACGAATCTAAATGCATCATCTTCCAAAAGCTGATATTTGACATAAGTTGACACAAAATTATAACCTATAATTTGGCAAGACTTTGACAAGCCTCAAAAATCTAAAGGCGAGTTCATACGTATCGGCGTCCGTTTGTCGTTCATCGTTCCGTCAAACCAATAAAATTGAAATATGATCTGTCATTTTTTAAATAAACCAATAAAACTGGTTAAAAACAAGAGACGACGCATTACGGATTTATATTTAAATCCATCCATAGTTAACTTAAAAAATATTAGAAACTCTTTTTTTAGTAAAATAAATTAGATTGGTATGGGATATCATCTGCTTTTCTTCTGTCATCGTCTGTCGAAATCTTGCATGAGAAAAAAAACAGAGTATAGTCAAATGTGGGTAAAACGATGAAAAATGTCAATGTTACGTGAATTTCATAACCTGTTGTTGACTTATGAGGAAAATGTTGAAAACGCTTCCCAACATTTTCTATGTTTTGAACAATATTAGTAGCTGCCAAGTCATACATTATCAATTACGTATTGAGGAATTTACAGAACAAGTAGTTTTCTGTAGAGAGCAAGAGAACGCACACAATCATACTTTTTTCTATTTTTACTGACAGTTCGACAAGCAAAACGATCCTTTAAAGTAGCCGTTTTTGAATCGCTTAGCGTATAGTACTATTCTTTTAAAATTTCCTCAATATGGCCGACCTAGTTACGAAAATTGGTAATTTTTTTTTTTAATGAAAAATAAGTTGGCGTTAGCGAATTCAGAACGTTAAAGTTAGGTTATTAGGTGGTTGTCATAAATAAAAACATAGATTATTGTAATTATTTAATAAGAATAAAGGTATTTTACCGCAGATCCGAAGAGATTTTACTTAAAGGTATTTTATAAACTTTCTCAGTGAGAATATTAACTCCCCTGTTTCTTATATTTCAGTTAAATGGACGTAAGAACTATAGGAAGTAAATTTTTGTTTTCATGTTTTGACGATATCTGAGAGTTCCTAGAATTATCAAGATTATTGAATAATTATAGTTGTTTAATAAGTGAAATTAATAGAAGACTTGGAAATAGGATGATGCGTTTCATGTTATAGTTTATAGATCACCCCATTTCTCTTAATTTGTTTTTATTTCAGTACAGTTAATCACAAATTGAATTGATGTGTGCAAAAACAGCTATATATTTTCAAACATCTTATTTAAATAGTTCTTTTATATACTGTTAAACTGTATCAACTACAGAGTATTTAGCAAAAAATTATAAGGTAATAAATTTTGTAGATATAATTTATGAAAATTTATAATATATAAAGATTAGAACACAATCCTCTGAAGGAAAAAGAAATACTCAAAAACTCATTAAATATACTTTATTACAAATAACAACATACAAAAACATCCATGCAAACTGTAATAATCAGAACATTATCCACATTATACCTTTATTAAATTCGTGTCCACACTCCTATCAGGAAAGCCAGAAATGTTTGTTTAAATATTAACTTATTTTAAATTGCCAGAAACACACCAGAATATATCACAACCAAAACTATACGTTAATCAGTACTAAATTTTATACCTAGTAAGTGATGCGTTAACTAACAAGTATAGGATAAAAAACAATAATTATTAATATAGAGTGTACTATACAATGTCCTGCTTATTTATGAAATGACTTTCCCTTCAAATGTGAGGAATACCAGTAAAATAAAACATAATTTTTGGTTTGGTTTGGTGTTTGATACTCTAACTACATCTATTACAAACCTTAAGTGCTTTTAGCGAGTAACTGTATTTTTTATTATTCTTTGTGTATCCTGTAAAGTAAAAAATATATATTTCAAGAAATATAAAAACAATGCAATAGATATCAAACAGATTCATAAAAACTACTTACAATTATTGTACATAATTATATATTGCAAGTGTTATTTGATGTTTGGTCCCATTACCAACATTACCTTATTTAGGTCTTCTCTACTAACTCAACTTTTAAATCTGTTTTAAACCTTCTTTATATTTTAAAATTGATTTACAACAATCTGTAATGCCCGCGCTGTTTCCTGAAATATAAGTTTTAATCTATTTATTATCATATAGTACATATTACAAACCTGAAAATTACTGATACGATGAAACTTCTCAAAATAATTAGAGACCTTTTTACAGACATCTGGACTAATTTATTTTCACGAATTTGTGAACGAGTCAATGTTTTCTAATACGTTTTTAAGCGTTTTACACATTTTGAATATCTTCCAGCCTATTCGTCAATTCTTGATCGGTGAAAAGATTATTTATAACTATATAATTAGTACTGCAGGTTGTAGGTTAAATAAAAGAACAAAATCAAGTAGAATTTGTGAATAAAAACTCAAAAATTAATGAAAATATTTAGAAAAAGGAACTGTAAACGTCAATGTCAGCCAAGTGTTAGAGTTCAATTGGATTTACCAAAGATTATCAATTTGAACGATTTGAAGTACAGTCGATTCCAGTTTAGAGATTTTCGTTTTTTAAGCCTCCCATACTGAAGTCCGCCATATTGGGAAGTTTTAAATGAATGCAAGTATAATCAGTAAAGACGCTAAGCTCGTCAGATGAGAATACCCATACCCAATTAGCGTCATATACGCTGAGTGTCTAAAAGCTTTATATTTAAAAAATTAGAATGTATTTTAATTAGAGATTATAACTATTTAATTAATTATAGAGAAATTATACTACATACTTTCGTATTAGAAATAGTTCCGTGTGATCGCAAAAACTGCGTCAAAGACGGTTGGGGAATTACAATCGATAATAATTTTGGCGAGGTCAATCTGTAGACGTCATTTACTAAAAATTGACATAAAACTCGTCAAAAATTGAATACTAATAGAAATATTAGAAAAGAACGATTCCAGACACACAAATCTATTTCCAAAATATTTCTTTTTTTTCTCGAATTTAAAAACTATTACTACACTATTTAAAAATAATTTTTACTCGATAGAAAAATAATTACAACCTTCTTGATGAACAATGACGTCTAGGGCTTGACTATAGAATATAGCTTGTTTTAGAATATAGCGTTTTTTAGAATTAGTACGTTTGTTTTGGGATTTAATTTATTTTTGTCTTTTTGTTTCTTTGTAGATCCACTATATCTAATTAAAAAACTTCTAGTTAAAAATGGTGAGTACCAGCGTGTGTTGTTTTATACATGTTTTCACTACTCATGTGCTTTACTTTTTTTTTGTTTGGCTTTTGTTCCTAATCCTTCACATTAATGTCTTCAATCATCGTGTACTCAAGATAATAGAACAAACATTATCGAAAAAAAATTAAGATGCAAAAATTTTAAATAATTTATTTGCATATTTATCTAATTATCTTGAACACACTGTATATTCCTGTACTTTTTGTAAGATAGGTACAGTTAGATTTATGATTGGTTTAAATATTAGATCTTATTAAAAACTACTTCACTCTTTTTTCAAGCATTGATAGAACATTTTACATTTAAATTGAAGTACTTTAATTATCTATTATACTTAATTGTGATAATATTCATCAATAACAATTAATATACAGGATGTCAAAAAATAGTGTCTATAACTTTGGTGGGTGATTCTACAGATAAAAATAAAACAAAATAGCCCAGAGCCTATAGAGGGCGAGGTTCAACAAATTAGAGACAAGCTGAAATTTGGCATGAAGCTTCATTTTGTAGATCTTTAAACATCCTGAAGCCCCAGCGATGAACCGTTGAGCCCGTCACCCCAAAACCACCCCTACAAGGGGTAAGAATGGCCCTTTTTTTACTTTTTCTTCAATAACTGTAAAACTACGAATTTAGGAAAAAAAAGTCAGGAGTAAAAAATTGAAGAGAAGGAAATTTCCTACCACATAGGTAAAGAACCAACATTTTTAGAATTTCAGTGGCGCAGGTGCGTATTCTTTAATTTAGGAGGATTGTTTTAATAACCCACCATTCTGTGTTTAACTTCAAATGAAAGCATTTTTGAGATAGATCTCGAGACCGAAAAATTTATTAGGATACAAGTTCCTATAAAAACGATCTTTTTAATAAAGGTAAGTTACCAGTGGCGGAGATATTTTTTTTAAATGTGCGTTTTTTACATTTTAAAAACATAAGAAAAATTGCTGTTTTACAAATAATTTCAAATGAAATAGATATATTGAAGAATTTACACGTTTAATAACAAAATAAGAAAAACCTTAGCTCAAAAATAGGATAACTTATCTTAAGGATAGTCCTCATTCATTTCCACATTTGTTGGGTTCGTACATGTAATGCCATTGCATTGACCACATGCCATAGTGCAGGTGAGTCCCATTCGCCTTCATGTACATGCTTTTTTACAGCTTTCCGAAGAGCAATTGCAAACATTTTTCTCTAAAACCCATGTAGGAGCAATGGGCTGGTATGAATGTATTGGATTCATCTCTCGATTTTTCATTTTCTAACCCCAATCTTGCGGTGGTAAATTGTTATTTAACCAAGCCTGTACCTGTAGGTTAAAAATGAGAATTTAGTTTAACATTTGAATGCAACATAAATTTAACTTACCTAATGAAAAACTCTAAGTCCATGATATTTCGCACTATTGGAGGTAGGTGGTAATAATGCCAAGTTGAAGTTGGTATTAAGACTTCGTTTAGCTACGTACTGTTGATAAAGCATGTATCTGGCACTATCCAAATATATTTTGTTGTCGAGTTTTTAACATATGCTGCTATAAAAAACTGAGATGTAACTTCTTCTAACTTCTCCTTTGTAGCTTGGGGATTATAAAATTCTTTTAATAGCTCACATAACTTTTTCTTCTGGATGGTGTTCACTAAATTAATCTTCCCTTTATTGAACACAGCAGACGTTGTGTCACAACGAGCTATAGCGTGGACACTAAGAATCACATTCTTCAGATTCCCCAATTTTTGTTGTAAGGCCGATATGTCGATTATTTTATTTGGTTTTGACACCTTTCCCGGACGAATCATAAACAGTCTCTTTTGGCAATAATGAATCAGTAACACTCTAATGTCCGTATCTTCGCTAACTACTGCTACGGTCCCTTCTGGTAAATTGTCACTTATTGCCACCGCTGTAGTTCAATAAGAGTATCGGCATCATCATCAGCGAATTTAACATTGATTCCATTTTCCAACATTACTTTTCCGAGCGCACGAATAAAGTTGCTTTTGTTGGTGTTGTTTGACAAAAAATCTGCCTTTGGTACCTTCACTGCAGATAAATTCGAGAAACATACAATTGGTACCATTTTTTTACCTGCAGATCTGCGATTCTGCTCCACAATTTTGGCCTGTATCTCTTCGTAGCCATCAAAAACAACAGTGATATTTTTACCATAGTGATATGTTATATAATTATAGTATTGAGAAAACAGATCTGAAAATATCGCAAAAATAGGCTACAGGCTTGGTTAAATAACATTTTACCACCGCAAGATTCGGGTTGGAATCTGAAAAATCGAGAGATGAATCAAATACGTTCAAACCAGCCCATTGCTCCTACATGGGTTTTAGAGAAAAAAAAATGCAATTGCTCTTCGGGAGGCTGTAAAAAAGCATGTACATGCAAGCGAATGGGACTCACCTGCACTATGGCATGTGGTCAATGCAATGGCATTACATGTATGAACCCAACAAATGTGGAAATGAATGAGGATTATCCTTAAGATAAGTTATCTTATTTTTGAGCTAAGGTTTTTCTTTTTTGTTATTAAACGTGTACATTCTTCAATATACCTATTTCATTTGAAATTATTTGTAAAACTACAATTTTTCTTATTCAATGTTTTTAAAATGTAAAAAACGCACATTTAAAAATATTATCTCCGCCACTGGTAACTTATCTTTATTAAAAAGATCGTTTTTATAGGAACTTGTATCCTAATAAATTTTTTGGTCTTGAGATTTATCTCAAAAATGCTTTCATTTGAAGTTAAACACAAAATGGTGGGTTATTAAAACAATCCTCCTAAATTAAAGAATTCGCACCTGCGCCACTGAAATTCTAAAAATTTTGGTTCTTTGCCTATGTGGTAGGAAATTTTCTTCTCCTCAATTTTTTACTCTTGACTTTTTTCTTAAAATTCGTAGTTTTAGAGTTATTGAAGAAAAAGTAAAAAAGGGCAATTTTTACCCCTTGTAGGGGTGGTTTTGGGGTGACGGGCTCGACGGTTCATCGCTGGGGTTTCAGGATGTTTAAAGATCTACAAAATGAAGCTCCATGCAAAATTGCAGCTTGTCTCTAGTTTGTTGAAGGTCACCCATGTAAAACGGTGTATCCGCACTGAGCTAAAAAGTTCCTATGAACATATGCCCTAAAATGCTTCCTGAAGAAGTTTAAAGATTACGATGCATCGATTTTAGTATTAGTGAAGTGATAAAATGTAAAGAAATTTTAAATAAATTAATCTCCTGATTTCGCTAATGCTAAAATCGATGTATTGGAACCTTTAAATAGCTTTCTAACTTAAATTTTTATTTATTGAAATTACTGTATCTATAAGGTTGAAAGGAGTACCACCAGTAGTAATCTCTACCCTAATGGAAAGTACCCTTTCAGAGCTGTTACGGAAGTTTACACTATCGCCATTCGCTTTGGCATTAAAATGTGTGTAAAAGTACCAAATTTCAAGAAAAACGGTTTACCAATGTTCTTAAAAATATACAAAATATATTTTTATTTAACCTTTCGAGGTCTGTAATTTCTTCGAGGAGCATTTTAGGGCATATTTATATTCATAGGGACTTTTTGTTTTATTTTTATCTGTAGAAGTTAGATATCACCGAAGTTAGATACGCTATTTTTTGACACCCTGTATAATTGTAAATTAACAAAATTATTAATTCCTAATATTTACAGGAAGAAAATGCATACGTATTCTCAAATATCCTCGAATAAAAAATTAAGGATGTAAGGGGGTATCCATAAATTACGTGAGGGAATCAAGAGAGAATGGGGGTCACACCCAATCTTACTAAATCTCACGTGGAGAGAGAGGGGATTTGGGTAAATATATCGTAATTTTTTTCGTGCAAAAAATGGGGTAAAAATGTGAGAGAATCAGATCAATTTAAAGTAAAACATGTTTCTAGACTAAATTATGTTGAAATCTGACACAATTCTTCTGTACATTAAAATACATGAATAGATATAAAGTTATCTATTATTGATATATCGAAAATGTGGTCCCCGATTCCTTATTCGTTGAAAAAATATGATGCGCAGTTTAGATTTCACAAGACAAGCTACTGAACTGCTGTCACAGATTAACTTACAGATGTGGCAGTTATTTCATGTTGCTGAAAAACACCGCCATGATCTCGGACCTTTAATAGGGCTATGGCGTTGTCAGACTTCGTTTTTTTTTCTCGAATGCATTGTTGCCTTTTGTAAAAAATGTATTTTCAATTGAAATAATACTTAATCTATGGCACAGCTTTCTTGTAGCGATTCATCATACGCATGACCTTTGTATTCGGTCCCTTTAAATAGGATATTTAAAGCGACCGAACGCATTCTTGTTTTATTTTGTTTTTCCGTCTTACTGATAAATCTGTGTTAATATGTGCTACTGTGCGCAAGTAACAACGGTTTAGAGAAACTAAATCATAGCAAAGATGCAGGAGCAGATAATTTTACTGAAAATCGCATGGATTTGTTGGATTGAGACCGTGTACTAGTCTCCATGAACTGAATTAGAATAAATGTTCCCTCTATTAATTTTTTGTAATGGAACATAGTGAGTTGAACACCATTTAAGTATTATTTAATGTTATTACTGTGATTTTAGGTTACGATCCAAACAATCTCAAATACTAGTCTTTATTATAATAAATATATTCCACCAATGTGTACTACCAGTCATGACCTATGCTTGCGAAACCTGGACACTTAAAACGGACATTATAAGGAAACTGCAGGTCGCACAACGCTCAATGGAACGAAATATGCTGGGAATAACCAAGAAAGACCGTAAAAGAATAGAGTGGATACGACAATAGATAATAGATGTCATCAACAGAATCATACTCAAGTGGCAATGGGCAGAACCTCTAGCAAGAAGGACGGACAACAGATGGACCACAAAAGTTACAGCATGGTACCCTAGAGGAATTAAAAGACCTAGAAGACCAAACTT